GTGTAGGTTATGCCTGATAGTATGAGCTTAGCATTGTATGCTAGTACAGTTTCTTGTTATGAGAATAGGTTGCATGAGTATGTTTCCCTTATCCAAATGTTGCTTGCTTTGTGCTTTGTGGGACTCTGAGTGATGGGAGTTAGCCATTAGGTGAATACATCACGTCACATGTGGTCAGGGTTGGATAATCCCAGAGTGCCATATTTGACCCTATTGTGCAGCTCTCGTTTGAGTCTAACCATTATAGGGATGAGTCTTTTACTCGAAGGATTATCCGAGCCTCATTGCATGTGATGGTATTTAGGTGGTGGCTAATTGGCATTACAAGGAGGCCTTCAGCAGCTGAGGACTGGTTTGGGTGGAGTTAAAGGTTTCCCTAGGGCAAGCCTAGGATGTGAGTAGCAGAAGTCAGTAGCAGTAGAGTGACTTGGTGGAGTCAAGGCAGTTCTTGAGGAAAGTACAGATAGATGTGGAAGGTAGTATAGGCCAGCAGCCGGCAGTTCGGGTGCCGGAGAGGGATCCGGATCAGGCTCGGGAGCCGAGCATCTAGATGAGCAGACTAGAGAGTTTTTCACTTCAGAGGTGACCCGTATCATTCTTGAGCAGACTCTAGTGATCTTTGGTTCGATCAAGGAGGGTATACTTGAGTTGATGGAGGAGAGACTAGGCACATTTCGTGCTAAGGTGGCGGCCATGATGGAGTCGCGCACGTTTACATTCAGGGAGTTCTGGGCATGTGGAGCTCTAGATTAACACGGGGCGCAGGACCCCATAGCGAGTACTAGATGGTTGGTGGATGTGGCCAACGCTTTCCGCATGAGCAGGTGTCCTGAGGGGGACAAGGTCAGATTGGTGTCCTGTCTTCTGAAGGATAGGGCACGGGATTGGTGGGAAGAGGTCGGATATGTCATTGGAGATGACGCAACTTTGGATGCTATGACCTGGGCTGGCTTTACTGTCAGGTTCAAAGCTGAGTTCGCATCGGTTATTAAGGTGCAACAGTTAGCCAGGGAGTTTCAGGATCTCACCCAGACTACAGAGACAGTGGCGGAGATTACCGCCAAGTTCAGGGAAAGGGCGCTTATCGTTCCTCAGTACGCAAGTGATGAGGAAATGAAGAAGGCCCGTTATCATGAGATGTTACGGAGTGACATCCATCAGTTTGTGAGCCAGTCCAACTGTAAAACGCTGGATGACATGATAGCTAGGGCTCGAGAGAGAGAGATTGACCTTGAGATGGAGAGAAAAAGGAAGCCGGAGGCAGCTTCGGGTTCAGGGAGTTCGGGCAAAAAGCCCAAGGTTTCAGATCACAGATCCAGGAGTCTGCAGAGCCACGGTCGGTGTGGCAAGTGTGGGAGATTGCACAACGGGTCATGCAAGTCAGGGAGTTCCGGATGCTACAAGTGCGGTCGGACTGGGCATATGAGCAGAGATTATACAACCACTACTACCGCCATTGCGGCAACAGATCTGATTTGCTTCCAGTGCAATCAGAGGGGACATAAAAAGTCCCAGTGTCCGAGTTTAGCTGTTGCAGGGAAGGTGTCAGCACCTGCTCCTGCTACTTTGACGATTACAGATAGCCGTCAGGGCCGAGTTGAGATGCCGGTGGTGAAGAGTAGGGCTTTTCAGCTGACAGCAGAGGAGGCGCAGGCGACTCCTGACGTGGTGACGGGGTCGTTCTCAGTGAACGGCGTTTCAGCCACAATATTGTTTGATTCGGGGGCTACCCGATCATTCGTCTATCTTGCGCTTAGCAAGAGGTGTAGCAGAGCTCCAGGGGAGCTAGATTGTCCACTTGAGGTTGAGATAGCAGCTGACAGGACCGTTAGGTGGCGAGAGTACACAGAGGATGTTCTCTACAGTTATTCGATGAGCAGTTTCCGGTGGACTTGGTTCCTATTCCCATGCGAGGGAATAAGGTCATAGTAGGCATGGATTGGCTGAGCCCCTATGGGGTGATGATAGATTGTGAGCTACAGTTACTGATGGTTCGTACTCCCAGTGCAGGAGAGTTAGTGATTCAGGACGAGAGGCCACATCGCGGACCAGTTCTATGTTCAGCAACGAGAGCGAGGCGCCATTTCCAGCAGGGATGTGCCGATTATATTTCCTATG